TTTTCGTAAAATCTAAATATTATTATTAAACAGTTTTACATTTTTAGTATAACTGTATAGGTAATTGATATTCAGTTATTATGGATATAGGACATAAGGTATGTCGTATGAGTGAAGACCGATATTATATTAGGTACCCATATTTAAGTATTAAATCATTTAAATTGATTTTTTTTTTTTTGAGATTATTTAATTACAGTTATAGCCTATATAGGTATTAAAATAATAAAGTTTTTATGTAGACCCCCCCCCTCCCCCATGCCAATACCTAATGTTTAAACCTTGATATTTAAATAATTTAGGTATAATATTCACCCTCTCCTGATAGTATTAAGTTTTTCAAAACTATCTGGAAAATGGATATAACGCTTGACAACATCAGATATATTCATTGCATCAGTGACCTCAGCTATGCATCGACTCACAGAAGCTTGGCTTAAGCCTGAAGACCTGTTATCTCCTATATCAAGTTGATAAGATCCACTTGCAAAAAATCGCAATGCTGTCAAAACCTATTAATAATTTAAAATTGTACATAAAATTGATTGACAATTTTTATTAGGTACTATACCTACACCTACTTTAAACGTAGAAAAATTACTTATTTAATTATACCTTTCTTTCTATTGAAATTGACGATTTTCTTGTTGGTTCAGACATATAAGGCGTTAAAACTTCAATGAGTTCACCAGCCAACCCTTTACTTAGGCGGAATTTTTTAATAAACTGTTTATCAGATAGTTCTAAAATTAAATAAGGGCAATAATAATTAACAATTAAATAAATGCTATGTTTGGGGTCCCAAACAACCGTAGTTACAGTGCTGATTTTTTTTAAATTCTTAACTTTTCCCGGGAAATAAGGTCAAAAATCTAGCCGCTAAAATATTATATTTATTTTACTGCCGTAATATATATATAATTTATTTAATGAATATAGTCAATAGGTACCATATTCAATATGAAATAAATTTTAAATATTCTTTAAAATTAATTATAATTTTTGTAAAAAGGACATTGTAAATGTTCGGAGGTAGGAGTGGACTGTAATCGGAACGTAAGAATCAAAGATAAATAATGGTGCAACAACTTATGTTTGCCACGGTGTCACCGGNTGTTCAAAAATGGGTAAACTCTATTCCATTGAAAATAAATGAAGATACAGAAGTTGTCTTTTCTAATCAAGATGAAGTAGATGAACAAATAACTCTAGACTCTATGACTTGTGTTCAAGATTGTATAGTTAACGGCCAACATATTAAATATCGAAAAACCTACTATTATAATGATTGGTATTTGCTAAGTAACGCAATTTTATAACGGGGGAAAAAAAAAAAAAAAATTTTAGTCTACCCAATTTTGCGTAAGAAAATGTTGCGCTGACGCAACGTTGGCTTAATGTGTATTAAAAAATAACTAAAAACAACGAATTTATTCAAACTGTTAAATTATTTATTTATTCTGAATTAATTATACATTTAATAGTATTATTATTATATTGAAAAAAAAATGTATGTTTACAAAAATGTATTACGTATTTATTGAAACACGAACAATAGATATTTGAAACTTTTTTTTACTTTTCATGGAATTCTTGAAAACAATCTGGATGGAGAAAAACATTGCACTTTTTGCATGAATAAATTGTTTGTGATTGACAATTGCGACATCTTCTTCTTTCATTTTTTCGAATAATGAGATGACCAATATCGTCCTTTCTTATAGCTGTAGGTAGAGCATTTTTCGAAGGCCGACCCAAATTTGTGTTGGTAATGGATACTGCAGACTCATTGATAGTTTCTTCATTTGATTTTTTAGATGATGATTTTAACAAACTCAAAACAAGTTTTGATCTGTAGTCAAATTGTGAACATTTTTCACCATTTACCAAATTATAAAACTTCCATGAATTGACCACTGCACTGTCTACTGCGTTGCTAAAAAGTGGCCACCACCATTTTTTCCCTTTGACTCTAATCCTGTAATTTGCTATACCATTATCATGCAGATCAACGCCACCCATGTTTTTATTGTAATCCTGAATCACGTTAGGTTGCTGGACATTGACAGTTTTTTTTTCTTTTCTATTATAACGTTTTGCGATTACTAATGGATTAATTGCACCAACGTTAGTCAAGACCGTCACAACTGAATTGTCATTCCATCGAACTGCGCAAATTTCATTTTTTTTTTCAAAAGCAAAGTCAAATGTTCCTTTACATTCTTTTCCCAACAGTTTGACAGATTTTAATTTACAATTACCAATGCGATTTTCTCTCACAGTGCCTGTCGCAAAGAATCCTTTTTCTCTTAGCATAGCCATTAGAGAATAACTAGTAAAAAAGTTATCGAAAAATACTTTATGCAAGTTTGGATTTTCAACAGACTCCAAAAGATTGAATACAACTTCTGAGCCTAATGGCAAACCTTCTATTCGTTTGGTACTAGCACCACCATAAGGTGAAAACTGAAATAAGTAACCATTTTCAGAAGCTAAACACCATAACTTGAAGCCAAAACGAACTGGTTTTCCTCTAATAAACATTTTACATGAATGCCGACCAAAGTATGGTACCATTTCTTCGTCTATTGACAAATTATGAGCAAAAATACCAAACTGAACAAACTTTTGATTCAATAAATCGAAAAAAGGACGCAATTTTGAAAATTTATCTAAGGGGTTGAGATTATGATTATCAGCTAAATGCAAATTTTTTTTTATGGAACGAAATTTATTTCTCGACATTGTATTTCTTACTAAAGTTACTTCTTTATCTTCATCTTTACTCCAGTAGCAGTCCATTTGGGGTAAAGTATGGTATCCTGTTAGTATCATAATCCCTAGGAATTTTAAAAGTTCAGACTTTTCAATAAAAAAATCGTGTCTATTTTGATCTTTCGCGTATTTCATACTGAAATCAATAATTAATTGCAAGACTGTGTCGTCGAAAAATAAAGAAAAACATTTGAGTGGATCAATTCCTTCATAAGTCTCAATTAGGTTTTTTATATTTTCTTTTTCGGCGTTTTCGGGAAATGATGAATACACGGGATTTGCTTTAGATTTCCATATTGGCGTATAATTTTGTTTTATATTACCAATTTTTTTTTTTTTACTAGGATTTTCTGGCGGTTGTTAGTCTACATTTGAAATTCCAGCCATTTCAAAATTATGATTTAAAACTTCAAATGTACCACATATGTCACTACTGAGTACATTTGTATCGTCATTTATTACAATTGCATTATCGTCTACATTTTCCTCATCAGTGAGACAATCAACATCTGGGGGAATTATAATAATATCAGTGGGTTCATCATCACTCACGTCTACATTATCTAAAAACTCCAGTATCTCTTCCGATGTTTTTAACCTTTTGAACTCACTCATTTCTATAATAATAAATACTAAAATGTAAATAAACGTACCTACCAATGAATAATTAAAACAAATAAAACTTACTTAGGCAGACTTACAGCGATTGACCAAACCAATTATTGCAGAAACAAAACAGATATAGAAAATAGAATTACAAAAATAAGTTGCAATGACCAAACAGATTTACGAACAAACGCGATAACGTCGTCAACTAAATCGTGTCTATAATCTCAATTACTCGGTATTGGATATTTATAAATTATTATAATAATAGCTGTTGTCAGAAACATCAATGTACGCGGGAACACCGCGTTATCGCGTCCGCCAAGGTCACAAAACGACCGGTACTGGAATTTATATGCTACAAACCGCCAACGTTGCGTGTACGCAACATAAACTTTGAACTTCAAATTTTAGTATGAGAAATGAACGAAAGTTAATACAAATGATCTAAACACATCGAATACCTTTTGAAAATAACGATTTTTACACAGTTTGAACTTTTAAAACACAAATTTATATATTTTTCAATTTCTCAAAAATGTATAATATTATACATCAAAAATGTCTTAATTCTGTCGTTTATAATATCAATCATATACATGAGAAACCGGTATTCATATTTTTTATTTATCTGTTGGTGTATTTTTAATCAAATAGTATCACAGTTGAATTAAAAAAAAATTGCAATCCAGCATAAAAAAATGTTTTTAATTAATGTTGCGTACACGCAACTTTGGCCGTTAATGGGCAACAGCAATTAATAATAATGAACTGAGCACTAATAATAAAAATACAAACTGCCTAGAAAACTGTAGTATTATTAATAATGATGTTACATTTGAAGNGGGCGGCCTGCATACTGCAGCAACGCATTTGCCGATATGAACCGGGACGCCGTATAAATGCTTCACGTTCCGAACATACCGGCCTCCTTGAAGGTAGCGACCTTCAATTGGATAGTGGCAAAGGGCATAGCTTGACCACGGGACGACGTAGAACGGTGCCGTTGGCCAACTTGACATCAGCGACCCGGGTTATGGCATCCGTTCCTGGGTAAATTTCCACGATACGAGCGGTTTTCCACGTGAGGGCTGGTGATGGTTCTTTGATTAGAACAAGTTGACCCACCTTGAGGTCTATGGCTATTTTCAGCCATTTTTTGCGTGGTTGCAACGTTGTTAAATACTCCCGCTGCCATCTTTGCCAGAAGTGCTGTTGGATTTGTTTAACCAGTGTCCATCGTTGTCGCAAGCTGACGGAGACCGGACGATCTTCGTTGTCTGGTACTGGTATCTTAGCCGGTGGTCCCATCGATATAAAATGGCCAGCGGTTAACGGCGCGTAATCATTGGGGTCTGACGATAATGCACCGAGGGGTCGTGAGTTTAGAGACACTTCTACTCGATGCAAAATGGTGTTCAGTTCTTCGTATGTCAGTATTTGATCTTGTATGACTCTTCTCAACAATGTTTTCGCCGACTTAACAGCTGCTTCCCACATTCCACCCATGTGAGGGGCTGATGGTGGATTAAAATGCCATGTTATCTGCTTCTCAGTTACATGACGCGTGTAGGACTGCGAACTGATGATGTCATGAACTTCACTCAGATACCGTTGAGTACCAGTAAAGTTCGTGCCACCGTCACTATGCATGTCCGAACATTGCCCTCGACGTGCAAGAAAACGATCTAGAGCTGCCATGAACGTCGGTGTAGAAAGGTCCGATGCGAGTTCCAAATGCACTGCGGTGGTTGACATGCACACAAAGACGCACAAATATGCTTTTGTTATGCGAAGTTTTCGTAACAGTGCGGCCTTTACATTAAAAGGACCTGCAAAGTCTACGCCGGTTTTATTAAAGGCCTTAACGTGGTCCAAACGCGCACGTGGAAGGTTCCCCATAAATGGCTGTGGGGACCGAGGATTAGCTCGGAAGCAAGGTATGCAACGATGTATTCTCTTTCGGATAACACCTCGCACCGATATTATCCAAAAGGACTGTTGCAGAATGTTTTGTACTGCGTTGGGACCTGGATGGCAATTACTACGGTGCACGTAGTCAATCAGAACTGCCGTCAAGCGAGCTTCTTTAGGCAAAAGCACTGGGTATTTTTCAGTGTAGGGCAAATCTGAATGTCGCAGGCGTCCTCCCACTCGAAGTAGATTCTGTTTGTCCAAAAAAGGGGCCAATTTCCGTAACTTTATGGAACACTTACGGTGGCTCCGCAGGTTTTCTATCTCTTCTGCGAAGAAAACTCTTTGCGTCCAGTGAACCAGAGCCCACATCGCATTGGTTGTCTCCACTGTGGTGGGTGGAACAGCTTTATCTGGCACGACCTTCTTCCGTAAACAATCGCGCACTCGAAGACAGTAAGAGGTTAAACGCAGAATTTTAGGCCAATTGTCCGATTGATATAGGAGTGGGCATTCGGTCATGGTTTCAGTAGTCATCAGTGTAACTATTTTGGTCTCAACGTGTTCATTTTTTTTCGTTGTCATTTGATGCGATTATGTCGATTTTAGGCCATAACTCCTCTGGTTTCTTCAGATAGACTGGCCCCGTCCACCACATTGTATGGTTGACTAATTCTCCTGGGGTCAAACCGCGTGATGCACAGTCTGCCGGATTATGTGCAGTCGGCACGTGTCTCCATGTATCTGGCGACGTCATATGCTGTATCTGGGCAACACGGTTTGCTACAAATGTTTTTAGTTTCGAAGTTGGTGTTTTTTTATCCATGCTAGAGCTACTGTTGAGTCCGACCAGGCAGTGGTGGAGATGGGGGTCGTTCTCCGACAAACATAAATTTGATAACATAATTTAACCTCAAATATTGTCCAATACCAACATAATTTGAATTAAATTGATATTAGGGAAATGTTGTACCAAACATACTACCGTACTTGTCGAAGTATCGGACTATTATTGAACAAAATATATTACAACATGAACATACCAAATTATTATTAAGCTCTGGTAATTTTTATAAAAATGGAAATTTAATCGTTATCAAATTACATTAAAAGTAAAGTAACTTGGCAATATAAAAATGTATAATGCATAATGAAAACGAAATACATTTTTACGACGATGACGACTAATAAATAAATTTAAGAATGTTGTTATCTTGCCCAAGTTTATTTGTATAATAAAAAAACACATTAAAATATCTCTCACATAGCCGTGCACATAATATGGACAATTACAGTAAAGATATCAATGATCTTTTAATCAACATTTTATCTTATTAAATATTAAAGCATGAAGTAAAATGGCAAGAATACCCAATACAATTATATAATCTTTAACAGATATTAGGATCTACCTGAATATCCTATAAAATAGCTTTGTAGATATTATACAATATATTACTTCTCAATGACCTTTACAATAAAGGGTATAAGCTTTAGTAAAATATTATCTATCTTATCTTTTTCTACATTTAATACATTAATAGACTACAAAATTGTACATCAATTGCATGTGCATATTATGGTCATTGCTCTGTCATTCCTTTTGAGCTTTGAATGTTGTATTGTTGTATACTATTTCACTTCATATTGAGACTTATTGTGCACTTATATAATTATCCAATATGAATAGAGAACATTTAGATGAGCATAATTACTTTTTGAATCTTCCGGAACAAAATATTGAGGATGTAGATGAAGAAGTCAACGGTAAGTACTTTTTAATATATAATTATTAATTAATATATATAAAAATAATAATATAAAAATAAAATAGAAATTATTACATTCAGTTCATTTGTATGGCATATATAAGGTATTACATTGGAATTATCTATCAATTACATATTAATTTTCACTATATTTATACAGTTCAAGAACAAGCAATGACATACAAAATAATTCCTGGTGTTAGACTTAAGTCTCAAATATTTTTGGACAATTTAAATCACCGATACTACAAAAGTAAAAGTCGAATTAATAAAATGTGAGTAAAAAAAAAATTATTTTGAGATTTGGTTTATAATTTATAACTATTTAGATATTTAGTATGCGAAAACCAAAAAAATCGCAGAGAGTTTTGTTCTGCCACTGCCTATATAAGCACAAACATGAACGATAATGTTATAACAGTACTAGGACAACACAACCATGATCCTCGGTTAGTAGATGTTCCTATGGTTCATTTGAGAAGAGCTATTGGTACAGCAGGTACAAAACCTGGAACTATGTCCAGCTCTGTTAGAGAAATTTATAACAGAGAAATAGTCGAGTATGTTAAAGAAGTTCAATAATACATAGTTTTAAGTTTAACTAATGGCCATGGTGTTGCTGTAGAGTATTGTCATAACTTATAAGAACAATAAAAAAAAAAGTAATTATAAAAATAATACAATTATTTACTGCCTTAGAAATCCAGAAGGTGCAGTAAATTATACATTTTTGCAATCCCAATTGTGTGTAAAAAAAATGCGTCGGCGCCGTCATCCAAAGAACCCTTCTACAATCGAAGAACTGATAGATATCTTGAGCCAGCAACAAAATTCAGCATATGGATCAACAATGCAGAATCCATCCTCAAAGTAACATTGTACAAGCATTATCTATAAAAATAAAATATTTTTATAAATTTTTATTTAGTTTTTTTCAACAACAATTACCATTAATGGCAGAAGGCGAAAGGGTTGGCATAGTTTTTGCAAATTTAGATGCTATTCAAAAGTATAGGGAAGAGCTCTTTACAGTAACCGTTGCAGATATTGATGGGACTTTTAAAACGGTTCCCAGATGTCCACCTCAGTTCACCAAAGGTTGTCTTTTGACATTTCAAGTGGTTTTAAAAAATGTAGTAAGTACAATTTTATTAGTATAAATAATTAAATTTTTCTGAAGTACATACCTATTAACTGTATTTTACATTTAAGTCTTTTCCAATGGTTTATGCGCTAACTTCAAAAATGACCCAGGCTGCATATGAATCGTTTTTGATAATTACTCGCCAGATTTTGCCATAAAACTATGCGGAGCTAGTAATTATTTCAGATTTTGAAAAGGGTTTAATAAATGCTGTAAAATCAGTCATTCCTGAAAGCAGATACCAGGGGTGTTGGTTTCATTATTGTCAAGTAATTAAGTATAGTTACCTAATATAATTCACATAATTTAATATATATTTTCTAGTCTATAGTAAGGTACTGCAGAAGGACTATGAATAGTATATTCAATCTCTTCCAATCCATTCCTGAGGCGGCTAAAATATTGCGCATGGTAATTTTTATCAATAACGGATTACTGAAATTATTAAGAATATTTGAAATAGTGTAGGTAATTTAAATGTTTTACAAACATGTCTGTTATAGATCTTAGCCTTACCTCATTTGCCAGCAGAAGTAAATCCCAATTGTAGGTTCACAATTTTTGATGGATTCAGGGTAGTTGTTGAATTTGCCAACCAACATCCAAACATTTCTCAACGTTTGGAGATTTTTCTCTTTGGTTATGTTCAAGATTTTTGGCTAATACAAATTGGCGCTGCATCTATAAGTGTCTACGGGTATGAGAATTTTATATAAAACAAAAAAAAAAATAGAAATAAACTACTAAAGAGTTTTTAAATACATACACTTTTTAGTTCTGATGTCCGCACCAACAATTATTTGGAGTCATTTCATGCAACACTGCTAAACCAAATGGGAAAACATCCAAATATTTGGGATTTTTTGCGTAAAATCAATTTTGTAAAATAATATTTGTTCGGAAATTGGAAGTCTAATCTAACTATCTACCTAACCTATGGATTTGTATTTATTTGTTTAGTGCTGTGAATTAAATGTTATGATTCAAGGTGGTTGGTTAAAATATGTTAAATAATAATAAGTAGGCAATTAAATATTTTATTTTTATTCTAGAAAAACTGTTGCTGATTGAAAATCAGTTTTATATTGAAATGGACCAAGTTCGAAGAAACCTTACAGTAAATGAATGATTTCAATTTATTTTAAATTTTTTATACGATATACCTACCTGTATATTTATGGTTTTTTTGTTATTTTTAAATGTTAAGGTTAGAAATCATAAGTCTAGAGTAGACAGAGCAGACGCAACACGTAGAATAAGGGATTATATTAATATATTAAATGAGGATGGGAACCTCTTAATGTTCCTTCAAAGAGCAGGCCATATGATGGACGGTTATCTTCATGGGCAAGTTGGCCCACAGCCATAATTCAACTAATAAATTATTATAATTATTATTTTTAACATTAAGCATATTTACATTTTATGACAATTTTATTTTGGACAATTGAATTTTTTATTTTATATTATTACATTTTTCAATATTTATTGAATAACACGTTTTATAGGTTGTATTTTAGATTCATCGAGTAGCGATGAATTTATTGATTTTACAATGATTATGTGTGTTTTATTGTCAATAAGCCTAATTTAAAACATTTGTATTACCTATTATTATAATTATTATTATTAACATTAAGCATAATATTAACATTTTATGAAAATGATATTTTATTATTAATGCTTTACACTTTTTAACAATTGAATCAACTATTTATAATATTTACATTTTTGGACAATTGAATTATTTATTTTATAATATTACATTTTTCAATATTTATTGAATAACACGTTTTATAAGTTGTGTTTTACGATGATTATGTGTTGTAAAACAATTTACAAACCGTAGAAAAAAACTTCAGAAGTTAACATTATAAATTATAATACCTTACCAGATACCGTAGAAAAAAACTTCAGAAGTTAACATTATAAATTATAATACCTTACCAGATACAGTAGAAAAAAACTTCAGAAGTTAACACTAGTAACTTGTTAGTACTTTCAGCTTTGTTATTTGTACACATGGTTTTTTTAGAACACTATAAGCAGTTTTCCGGCCGTATTATACAATGTAGTATAAATTAAGGTTAAACCGCCGATTTAAAGTTTTACGAAAATGAGTTTTGATATTTTGTTTTTACAGTTGGTCACTCTGACTGTCGGAGTAAAAATTGGTTGTTATCATTTGTCGGAGAACGGCCCTCGTCCGGCAGTGGTGTGGCTTATCTGTAATGTAGTTAGGTTGGTACGCACATAAGTGATAACTCGAGCGAGGAGTAGTGCTCCGCATAATTCCAATCTGGGAATGGACAACTTTTTTTCGGGTGCTACTTTTGATTTGCCCATTAGAAGCTGACAATGCATGGTCCCGTCTGGTCTTCGAGCTAAGATGTACACAGCAGCGGCGTAGGCAATCTCCGAGCTGTCACAAAATCCATGTAGTTCGTAGGTCGATCCGGTGCAAGTAACTTGTCGTCGCACTCGTACTTGTCCTATTAGTGGTAATTCATTGTGATAACACTTCCAAGCATCCATCGCGTCTTGGGGCAATGGGTCATCCCATCCAACTCCCAGTGACCATAAATATTTCATAAGCTTCTTGAGATGAGTGGTTACGGGCGCTAACAGCCCAATAGGGTCGTAAATACGCGCGATTTCCGATAAAATATGACGTTTGCTAAACTGTATAGGATTAGTTTGGTGTTGATAGGTTAATACGTCACTATTTGGCTCCCACTTTAAACCAAGTACTTTGTTAAACTCAATTTCACCTCCGTTAAACGCAACGTCTTGGTTTTGTCGATGTTCTTTGGGTAAGGCGTCTAATACCTTAGCCGAGTTACTGGACCATTTACGAAGTTCAAACTGCCCATTCTTTAGAACTTTTATGAGATTTTGTTGAAGTTGAAGCGCACTTTCTACACAGTCGGCACCAGTGACCACATCGTCCACATACAGATCGTTACGCAGAACTCGTTGAACATCCGAGTAGCCACCTGCTTCGTCGCTGGCCAATTGAAGTAGCGTTCTTATTGCTAAGAATGGTGAAGATCGTTGGCCAAAGGTCACAGTGGTCATTTCAAAAGTTTGAATAGGTTCTGAACTTTGAAATCGGTAAAGGAGCCGTTGATATTGTCTATGTGCGGGAGTAACGATGATTTGTCTGAACATTTGCTTAATGTCAGCTGTAACCACAACTTCATGTACCCGGAACCTGATGATTATACCCGGCAAGTCTTGTTGTAATTTTTTACCAGGATAAAGGTTGTCATTCAACGACTTCCCGTTCGAAGTAGTAGCTGACGCATCGTACACAACTCTCACTTTTGTAGTAGTACTGTCAGGTTTAATCACTACTTGATGTGGAGTGTAATAAGCCTGTTCCGGTTCGGGTGTGGCTTCTGGTACTATTTGCATGTGACCGCTATCGAGATAATCCTGCATGGCAGTATTGTATTGTTGTCGTAACTGCGGCAACTTATCTAGTCGGGATTCTAAACGATAAAGCCGGTTGAGGGCCATTTGTCGTGACTTTCCAAGCTGCGGCGGTGTGCAATTGAATGGTAAATGTACAACGTATCGACCGTCTGCTTCTCGTGTAGTCGTAGAATGATAAATACGCTCACAGTCCTCTTCTGCCGGACTCGTCTTTGACGCATTTGGTACTTCCTCTATTTCCCAGAACCGTCGTAACACAAGATCTACACTGTCCAAAGATGTTAATAACGTAGTGCTTCTCTTAGGATTAGTGTTACCAGTGTTTCCCATTAGAGCCCAACCGAACACTGTTTCGATACCAACTGGCTCACTTAGTAAATTTTCCCGTCGCCCACTTCGTATGATGTAGGGGAAAACTTCGGCGCCTAGCAGTACGTCTACGGGTAATGGTTCGTTGAAATTTGGATCGGCTAGTTCAAGATCTTTTAGATGCACCCAATCTGCATCTCGTATATGTTTAGACGGCGTACATCCGGTAATTTGTGTTACTACATACGCTTCGATTGTCATTTGCTGTTCATGGTGTCGTACAGGGCGAATAACTACTTGCGCTCGAGCTTTTATCGAGGGTACTTTCACTCCAGATATTCCACTAACTGCTAAATGACACTTCTGCCGCGATACACCTAGTCTATGTCGACAACTTTCGGTCATGTAGCTACTCTCACTAGCAGAATCTAACAATGCTCGTGCTCTTTGATAACACCCATTGGCGTCTTGTATGAGAATTTCTACGGTAGACATGAGCACTTGTGAGCGTATTGGCAAATTGCCTACAGAGGACAATAAAGTATTTGATTGGTCCTCCACTGCATTGTTGTCCAAATGTAGCCAAGAATGATGGCGTCCCGCACACACCTCACACACTCGTGTACTCTTGCAGTTCACCGACATGTGTTCACTGAAACACAAGTAACATCGATTGAGATCCTTTATCAACTGATGTCTTTCGGCTGGTGTTTTTTGTTTGAAGTCCGGACAATAAATAAATAAATGTCCCGGTGTTGCCTTACACACTTGACACGAGAATGATTTTTTTTGTTCATTTGCATTAGCGTGCGTGGGTTTAGGTTTTTTGAACTTCGATTGTGTAGTATGCAGTGTTGTGATTTTGTCAGGTTTTGTAGTTGATGCTTTTTCACGTCCACTTGCACTGGACTGGCCAGCACCTGCCGCTTTACAAAACTTGGTCAAAAATGTTACGAAGTCCTCGACGGTTGGATCGTCGTTGGTATCGACTAATAGTTCCCATTGACCTCTTAGTGGGGCATCCAATTTTTTTTTAAAATAAGTATAATAATATTGGGTCCCATTGGTCAACAGCATACTTCTGGGTTTTTAATGCTCCGACTGATTCGGTAATGGTGTTCAATAATTGTCGTATTGATTTTGAGTCACCTAGCATGGCCTTTTGAGCTGTCCAAAGCTGGTCGAAGTGGTCGTGTGCTATTGTGCGCCTATTTGAGTACCGCTTGTCTAAAATATTCAATGCGAGTTCGTAATTCTCATCACTGAGCATTAGATTGTTTATAAGTTTTAACGGTTCACCTTCTAAGTACGCCTTTAAATAACTAAACTTAATGACCGGTCTAAAAACTTCATTATTATGTACTAGTACATCGAACTGGTTGCGGAAACTCGTATATTCTTTTTGGTCGCCATTGAAGTGAGGTACTGGCAATTTTTCTACTGGAATATTGATCTGAGGAACTTTTTTCTCCATAAACGTTTGGTTCAAACTAGCCTCGGCAATTGACTCTGGTAAATGCTCATCTGCGAAGATTTTACAACCAATATATTTTTCTTCAAATTCAGCACGTTCTTTTTCTGTGTCTATTCCGTCTGGTCCGCTTGCGCCGCCTTTACACTGCTGACGTATAACGACTGTAAGATGCGTTTCAAAATCGTTAGATATGCTTTCTAACGACGCATGCATGATTTTGAATTTTGATCTCGCTGTCTTCGATTGGTCTTTTGTAAGTGCTTCACCGGCGTCATACACGCGTTGTACTTTTTTCTGAAGACCAACCAAACGTTCTTTTGACTCTTCGTATACACCCATTGCAGTGGTGTTAGGCAAAAATTCAAATAATAATAATAATCTGATAAATTATTATATAGGTATATAGTATTATTTATAAATTACTATCGAAGTCGATGACCTACTAACGAATTATAAATACAACGACGGTGACGTCGCGCGAGCGTACTTTTATCTCCGCGACAAGACACTAATCGCTTATTATGTCGTGCAGGTCCAAAGTCCACGACGACTTTTTCTCACACGGCGATTACGTAATAAGGTCGCTGCACCAATAACTTATTATATAACTTAAATTTAAATTTAATTATTATATTATTATATTATGTGTATCATACGTTTTAACTTACGGAAATATACTTTTTTTTTTTTTTTATGTATATACCCCGGTCACTGTTCAATCTCTTAGGAACATCCTAGGTACGAAGGATCATGTAAATGTTCGGAGGTAGGAGTGGACTGTAATCGGAACGTAAGAATCAAAGATAAATAATGGTGCAACAACTTATGTTTGCCACGGTGTCACCGGGTGCTACTATTCAATAAAAATGATAATAATAATAATTTAGGTGAAGTAGGGGGCACAATAGTGCTGGCCAGCGGAGGGCAATAATTAATACAAATAATAATAATACAATTAGGTAAAACTAATTACGACATAATAAACAATAACAAATATAAATGTATGAAAACCGTGTTGGGCGACAGCAGTCCGCTGGACAATCAACGGCTTACGGTAATGGTTGGTGGATGGTACTGGTAGTGATGACGGTACGTGTTCAGAAAGATACACAAAACAATGACGGTAACGGTAACAAAATAGCTATAAACGGTCGGTCGGTAGGTAACGTGGTGAGTCGGACGGTAGGTCGAACGGTACTGGACATAGGTGCCGGGCGGCCTGCATACTGCAGCAACGCATTTGCCGATATGAACCGGGACGCCGTATAAATGCTTCACGTTCCGAACAGACATAATATATTGAACGAACCTTCCAAAACATTTTGAGCTTGGTAAAATCTACGAGGATGATTATCTACTGCGTCTAACTCTACAAATTCTAATTGCTGTAACATTAACATTTGTTCAAATTCTTGAAAAGCCATCGTTTAAATTTGGGTTTACTCTACAAGTAGGTAAATAAATAACGAATAAATAATTGAATTGAAAAAAATGATTCAAATTTAAACTTTTCAACTTTTAATTAACGTTTATTGTTTGGTAGGTGTAAATACGTTTTGATTAAAACAATAAAATCAGATAGATAATGATAATAAAACGTAAGAACACTCTATTCGTATGGTGGATAAGTAACCGTAAGAGAACTACGAATAATTACGTATACGTATGTACGATAAAAATTCAAGAGTACGGATTTTTAATATACTACGTAAAAATGGTGGTTTACGTACGCTTTGGTCGTTCACTTTTCTTAAGTTACATTCGAGAATAGACCCCTGATTTTGTCCAGTGCATCTATGTAGCTCTGTGCGGGGTCGAAACCAAAAGCGAAAAAAGTAAACTCACAGTAATTGATTGGTTGAGGTTTCCTCAACGACTCACAGCTGTAAGTTCATAATTTTTAAATAATTAATGGCCTCATAGTTGTAACTATTGTATTAAATAGTCATGTTTGTTCTAGATTTTTTTTGAAAACTCAAAATTCAATAACAAAGACTTGGGTGGAGAGCTCTCGGTGTATCCCATGTACAACCCACAATCAACGTGGGCTGAACCTGGGACATAGAATCTACCTACATAATCTAATTAAATGTTTTTTAAATTATGTTTTATAGCCAAACAAAATGAAAAAAAAAAAAAACGCATTCCAATCAATTTGGAAGTAAGAATTTTATAATTTTAGTTCAATATTATATCGAAAATTTCAAATTAAGCTATAATTTAATATTTTTTTTTTTCTAGCTCGTCCTACAGGAACAAAAGCACGAGCAACTTGCCATTGAAAACCCTCCCCCTTCCCCCCACCAAATCCCAGTATTCACCTCTCCCCGGACCATCCCACTCTTCTCCCACATCTCCACCTTTATATTGGTCCTTTCCTCCCCCCCTTAATAGTCCCATTTTTTTTACAGATAACGACCTCCCCCCACCCCCCGGCGATTCCTCCTCTGTTCCCCTCCCACCCACCATTCCTCCCATGTTCCCGGCCCATCCACCGAGGGGACGCCAGCGAAATTTTAAAACATGCTACGTCTGATCATTTAACCAAAGATCTGCGCATGCGTGTGGACATAGTTATTTTTCAAGTCGGGTGTTTATCGAAATATGTGATCATTGGTCTGATATCATATTATCATTATATCATTATAATAATCATTAATCATGTATAATAAACAAAATAATAATTATTTAGATTTAGACAATGATTAGATATCGAATAAGATAATGATTAATTATTATGATAATTGCTTTTGTCATAATTTGAATATTAGAAATTATAATCATGAACATGAACTATTACACTATTGTCTGTTATTCTGTGGTAGGTATAGTAGTTAATGATTATAAATTAATACATTTTTTCCTATCATACGGAAACGGGATATATACAGGTTCATAATTTAAAGTCAGCAGTGACTATACTAATACTATACTTTACTATACTATACTAATACCTATGTGTAGTTTAATCATGAATAGGGAACATAAAAAATAAAATGTAAGTAATTTTCTATTTTTGGAATTTACTTATTCTATGGACTATGATAAACCCATAAAATTAAAAAAAATAGAAAAAACTAAAATAATTTGTGAGTTTCCTATGATTGAACTTAGATAGCTTTAATAATCATAGAGTTACCCTCATGGATAGTTGACCAAAAGTACAAAATTAAAATATACAGTTTTCAGCTAATTAATAGCAAAACAGAAAGAGTCTCCATGAGAACAAAATAACCCATGCAACTAGTAGTACCTCTTGATGGTCGACCAAACACTGCTTATTATAATATATCTTAACAGAAACTTAAATTAAAAAATTTTTTATTATAATTTATAAAATTATAATATAAACTTTTAGTTCTATTGTAGACAGGTCCTTTCATAATTCTAACACCAACAACCATAGACTTTATGGTCAAAGCCCCCCAAAAATGTGCATAGCCCCAAACATTTCCTAAATGTTGTTTTAAGATTATGCAATATTATTAAAGTAGGAATTTAGCCCCCTCCCCCCAAACCTCAAATGCTATTTACGCCTATGCCAACAACTTTACTATGAATCACACAGTCTATAAAAGTGTCTATTATAATATGAATACAAATATAATACACAGACATACAATGTATAATTTATGCATTTAATAGGATATGAAATATTGGTAGAAAGCAACCAATTATTATGGAATTAAGAGTTCCTTTATAAATATTAATATAACTAATTCTGTGCTTTTTTTTGCAAATTAATTTTGTTTTTGGTATTAATAAAATGTTTTAAATAAATATTTAACTCTATTAATATGAGACACAACATGTTTTTATAAAATTAGTTTTTAGAGATTTCAGTTAAAAATTCCAATGTTTATGTAATTTACAAATATATGCAAGTTCGATGTAGTAATTTATTTTATTATTTCATTAAATTTAATGCCAGATGAACAAATAATAACTGAAGGTAAAAATAATTGTTTCATTTACAAATAGCCTAAGTATTAATAACATGGAGTTTTGCTTGTGGTATTCTTATTCTAACATCATTTTTATTGTCTGAACAAAATTATTATATGAAATAAATTATTAAAATATATAATAATATTATGTATTTATATATATTCTGATAATATGTATGTATTTGTCCCATAGATCACAATTCATATTTTATTAATTGGTTTGTTTTTATATATTTTTTCAGACACTGTTTCAAAATACATGAACAAAATAATGCTAATAAAAAATATATAAATATAAAATGTATATTTTTTAATCTTATTTATCACTTATTTTATTTTGTAAAAATCTATGTTTATGTTTAGTTTTTTAAAATAGAAAATGTTCAGTATTTTAAATATTGAAATGTCTTTACTTAAATTGACTTTTCAATAAGACTTACAATAATTAATTTATACGGTTTGATTTTATTTATATTATTTAGATTATAGATATGTTAGTTTATGCAATTATAATTAATGTTTTATTGGTTCTAAGTGTCGCATGTATGTAAACTTATGTTAATGCATCATAATATATTTGTATAAATATACATATTATACCTAATACCTATGCATTTAGTTATTCATTATTATATTTTTTGTACATTGCTAATAAGTAACATTGTTTTTTATTGAAGTAATATAAAAATACATACATCTTCATACACCAGTCTTGTAAGAGATACTTTTAAAATTGTATTTAAATATAGATACAAATATACATCCATTCAGAAAGTATTTAAAATATACTTTTTTTCTTTTTATTTAATAGAAGCCAGTTTGCCATATTAATTTTTGTTTTTTATTTGTTACCTTATACAAAAAATAAAAAATTGTCCATAGCAGGACTTATTTTTGTGTGTTATACAAAATTTATTATGTGTAGTATGAAATACTATATATGTATCTGTGTAACGAATAATTAATATGGCGTCTATATTATTAATTATAATAACAAATTACAAAGCACAATAATTGTGAATTTTTATTTAACTGTTATACCTAACATGTTTGATATTTGATATGCTTTGATATTTTTTAGGATTTTAATTGTGATGACTGTGGAATTACGTATAAATATTATCATACCCTTAAAAGACATCTATCAGAGAAACATAACATACAACAAATTAATGCTAAAGTGAAACCAATAAAATGTCAAAAATGCAACAAAACATTTACATTAAAGACAAATATGATACGCCACATGAAAACTTTACACTCAGAAAAAATTAATGAAACAAATAATTTGAGTTCAAAAGTAATTTTAAAATAAAATATTCAATAAGCTTAGGTATTTGTTTATGAAATTTAAATTTAAATTTACAGTCTGTAAAAAATATCAAAAATGAC